CTCTCTCTCTCTCTCTCTCTCTCTCTCTCTGTATTTATTGGATTGATATGGCTACCCATCTCATAAAGCAACTCTTTAAACAATAAAAACATGAAAAATAAATATTAAAAAACAATAAAATCACATAAAAAAGAAAAAAGAAAAGAAAAATCCATTGATAGCGGATTTTATAATGAGATACTGAAGACATTTAATGAGAGTACAATGCATCTTTTAATGGCTATGAAGAATTGCCATTTTGGGCATTGAAGGTGCAATGATTCAGTGTGTTCTCTTGTGAATTGGATGTTTCCACATTACTAACATCAAGAATCAATTTATCTATGTTACCTTTTAAAAAACTTCTAAAATGTATACTTACCAGCTCCAAATGCAAAGAAGAAGCTTTTATCTGGATACTCTTCCAGTAAACCTTTTACTCGTTTGCCCATCCGCTCATTCCGCTTGTAGATAAGCTCGTGGCGGAAGTAGTTGTCAATCTCCTGAGCCATGATGCGCTCATGAGGTTGCAGTGATGCATTGATGAAATTTGGCACCTATGGGAAAGAAAGAAGATTATACAACATAAGCGATCAAATCTCCGTCCGTTCCCAGCATGTCCCACAGATTTGTTCCAGAGAGTTGGGAAACTTAAGGTTTTATGCACAGGAAATGCAAAGAAGAGTTGGAAAATGGAAATCTATTTATATAGCACCAGAGTTAGCTCATTCTTGATATTTCTACCAGTCTTGTAATAGGCAGAAAAATATTGACTGTACTTAGCTCCTCTCGCGCCTCTCTTTTACTCATTAGAACTACTGCATTTCTCCAGGATTGGGCTTTCTCTTTTGATGTCCAATTTTGCTTTTTGTAAATAAAAGAAAATACAGCAAAGCCATATGCTTAATAAGACATTGGTGCTATTTCATGGATGGGTCTATTTTATAATCTGTATTCTAATCCTTTTGTCATTAGAAATACAATAGAAGCACAAGGTACCATTTTTCTAAATGACTTGAGTATGGGGAAAGACAGACATGAAAAACAGATATTAGATTCATCTGGTAAAGGCCTTGAACTTTAAAAGTAAATACATTCATAAGGGCGGCATATAAATGTAATAAATCAATTAAATCAATCATGTGACAATGGGGAAGTTGGAGCAGTCATGAGTGTAAAAAATGGTAAATTTTCTCATTGCTGTTGTAACTTTGAACTGTCACTAAATGAGCTGTTGTAAAGTGAGGACTACCTGTATAATATTTCCAACAGATTTTGGAATATGAATTATATATGTTGACAATCTGCACTAGAGTAATATACTATAACAATAAAATATATCTGTTTTCTCCAAAGTAATATTAGCAAAAATGTAATACTTATCTTTCACTAATAGCCCCATTGTTGCATATTAATTGTACTGCTTAAATTATGCATCTGTTGGATCATACAGTCTTAAGTTGTTCAGTTTCTGAATTGTATTTCAGTAGCAACTTGTAAATAAGCACCACAAGATGCTACAAATTGTCCCTTATGAATTTTTCAAATTAGTCAAGTGTCTAAGCACTGTTTTTGCCATTTCTTTTGAACTATGCTGCTTATTTGAAGAAAGACTCTTGAAAGATTTTATATATATAATCTGGCAGATTTCAGCCATATGTGCAATCCCTCCCTCCCTCCCTCCCCCATGCAGCAGCCACAATGTATCTGCCTGCTGGGAAGGGAGGGGAGGGGAAGATTTCCAACACATACTGCCAGTTTCCCACAAGGAAACTGAATGGGGGAAGCCAACAGGAAGTCAATAGTCCTTCCCATTCCCATTGATATTTTTTTTGCCCATCCATGGCATTCTGTTTCTCTGATTAGGTAAGGAGAAACAAAGACCCAATATTGCATGGGTTATCTAGGAGCTATATATGGTTAGCTAGCATTTGCATCTTTCCTTTCTATTTCTACAGAAAGAAGTAACTAGGAGGCCTATAGAGGTAAAAGCACATAGTACTAAATTATTCACTCAAGTCTAGCCTGACATGGAAAACTATTTCCTTAGCTGACAAACTACATTTTCTTGAAACTCTTCCTTTAGGCCTTAGTGAAGCAGTTCAAAGCCTTGGCTGTGCCTTTAATGTCACTAGTTTGAAATATCCCATATAAGACTTGATTTTGACAAGCATCAAAATATAAAGATATAAAGAGGTATAGTAGTTAAGGCACCAGGCTAGAAATGTGGAGACTGTGAGTTCTAGTCTCACCTTAGGTATGAAAACCATCTGGGTGACTCAGGGCCATCACTGTGTCTCGGGCCCAATTCACCTCACAATGTGGTTGTTGTGGGGAAAAACAGGGTCTTAAATAGGAGGAGGAAGGAGTATTAATATGTTCATTGCCTTGAGTTATTTATAAAAATAGTACAGGTGGATAAAAATAAATTAAATTGTGAAACAGCATCTAGCAGCATCACTAATTTCTTAACTTGTACTTTTGATTTTCAAAAACCATTTAACTTAAATTTGATTTTAAGGGTATAATAGATTTTGAATAAGTTACAGTTACAAAGCATATTCTCAGAAGCTTGGGAGAATCACCTTTTTACAATATCAAAGAAAGAGACAGAAGATTCATACAAAAGAATATAACCAGGAGAAGAATGGGGCTGTGATATTTGTGCAATGCTTATTCAAATGCTTACAAAAGTATTCAGAACCAGTTTGGAAGGGCACAAGTACAAAGTTCGGAACAGATAATGTTGCTCACATTAACCTCCTGGAGAAATCTTTCATATCAGTTTAGCTTTCCAAAGACAACCCTAGATAAATTACGCTGGATATTGATCTTCTAATAAATAGTTTTCACCTGTAAATAGAACACTACACGCATTGTGAAGGTTCCTACAGTGGGTTACTCCTCTGATTTGCTCAAGCAGCAAGGTCACATTTCTTCATCCCATTGCAAATGACAGGATAATATAAGTGATTCATTTAAATTGTTTTGCACTTGAAACTTTTTTTTAACTCAAAACTGCTGCTTCAGGTTTAAAACAGATGGCTCCAACCTTACAGAAGTCCCAACAATCCAGTTTCAAAAAGCATCCTTATTTCAAGCTGGAAAACCTTGGGACTGGTTGGAACAGTCCTGGAGCCCTTCTGGTGAGATCAAAATAAATCACTTTGAGATCATAATATTTTGTACACCACTAAGAATAAGTATGACCTCAATAATAAAAACAGAAATAGATAGATAGATAGATAGATAGATAGATAGATAGATAGATAGATAGATAGATAGAAAGAAAAAGAAAGAAAAATAAATAAATAAATAAAGAAGAAAGAAAGAAAGAAAGAAAGAAAGAAAGAAAGAAAGAAAGAAAGAGTACTTCCACCAAAGAGAACACTTAAGAGAAGGAAGCAGAGAGGGAAGATTGCTTAGCATTGTAAAAAAAAAGATTCTTTACACTAATCCCCTTTCTTACAGTAGAAAAGAACATTCTACCACACAGATCCACATAGCTAGGAGCCATAATAAAAACCCAAGATTAGTAGTAATAGATTGCCCACTGGAAAACTGGCCTGCCAAAGCAAAACTCAGCAGCAGTCAAAATATTCAATTTGTAATGCTTTTACTGCTTGGCAAAAGAAAAAACAGACAATCAAGTGCCTACCCTGAAATATCCCTAAGGGGAGTCTTACTGGCTAAAGTGATAAAACTTGCTGCTCTCCTTGTGCAATAGACTGTGACTTTTTGCAAAAAAAACATCAAGAGACTTCTTTTCCTTTGTTATATTCTTACTTTTTATATTTTTCTCTCTGTGTTATTCTTTTCTCTGCAAGATGTCTTTTTTTATTGTTCATTTTTTGTAATTTGTATTAGTTTTTATCTCTTTTTAAATACGATTATTGTATAAAAAACAATAACTTTGAGACTCATAAATCAAAGAGGGATGCATCAAGGAACAGCTGCCATTAAGCACTTTTTCATTCCAATGTTTCTTCAACAAAGGATTTTGCTGCAAGAAAATAGGATTCTCCTTCACTACTGTTCAATTGGAGGAACAAAATGGACAGGAGAGGAGGCAAAGTTTAGTCCTGTTCTATCTGTAGAAAGCTCCTTATGTCTGTTCATATATTTGCATTGTGGTAGTACTGGTCAAAACCAGGAGACTCCAAACTGGCTGAGGAATTCTGGGAGTTGAAGTCCACAAGTCTTAAAGTTGCCAAGGTTGAAGACCTCTGGTCTAAACAGCAGTGAAGCCCCACTAATGAAGCCTCATGCATATCTGCTCTAAAGGCAACTGGACTTCCTTGGTTTGATTTTCCTTGAAGACGTTTCGATTCTCATCCAAGAAACTTCTTCAGTACCGGCTGAATGGTGGGGAACAGAAGGATTTATATTCCTTAGCAATCATCTAAATATAAATCTTTCTGTTCCCCACCATTCAGCAGAACTAAAGAAGCTTCTTGGGTGAGAAATAAAACTTCTTCAAGGGGAAAAAAATCCAAGACAACCCAGTTGCCTTTTGGAAAAGTAGCTTTGAGACAATCATAATCTGGATGATTGAGAATCTCCATAGACACTCCAGGCATATATTGTAGCTGGAATCACTATGAGATGGATGATTAAATATCCCTTGATATTTTGGGTTTGAGGAGCATAGGAGGATCCTTGTGGCTAGACATGAAACTGATCTAGAAGTTTTTATCTGTCAGGATTGGCTCCACTCTCTTTAAGTGGATAATACATGTAACTCTTAAGATCAGAGAAAAGAAGATTGCAAATCACCTGGCAATTGGCATAACTTATATCCTTTGTGTCTTTTGAGTAGAACCATCTCACCCTGAAGCTATCGAGATATGTCATGAAAATCCATTGCCAAAGAGAAAGACATCACAGCCACATATTCTGAAGTTTAGACTTTACTCTCCTGAGTCCAGCTCTCCCATTCAGCCAGAACTCTATCTAACTCAATGCTTTGCGAGCTTTGATGAGAAATAGGTCAGGTGAGTTTTAGGTGAAACTAGCAATCTGGTGGTTGGTTTTTTTAAAGAACGTAATATATGCACATGCATAACCATGTGTTAAGAGGAGAATGTTGAAATATGCCAGTGATGGAAAAGCTACATGATTTCCCCTTCTTGGTTACTGGAGAGAGCCACCAGCATTGCACACCTTTAAGGCATGCAGTAAATGGGATTACCCAGGGAGCCATGTGTATAAGACTCTCAAATCTTAGGGTCATGAAGTCCAAACATTTCAAGCACATGACTTGTCAGTGATTAGCTGACTGCTTCTTGGATAGCCGGTTTCCTGGATTGGAGGAGAAAAACCTTTTCCTATACCAGATGTTGCAATTATAAGACATAGCTCTTTTCCATATTTCCTGAAAAACAAATTGCTTCAGAGGCAGGATGTTCACGTCGTATTCCCCTGTCTCCAGATCACACATAGTTATGAGACTCCATATTTAAGAGATGGGCCATTACAATCACAGCAACATTGTATAAAAATAGGTTCTAAGACTATAAATATAATACTGTATTTTTCAGACTATGAGATGCACCTTTTTACATCAAAAAAGAGGCTGAAAATCTGGGTGCATCTTATACACTGAATACAGCATTTTTTGCCTCCTGAAACTCCACCCCTTCACCAAAATGGCCGTGCATAGCTTTTAGAAGACTTTCAGAGAGCTCCTGGGGGCTGGGGAGGGCAGAAATGAGCCCCCCCAGGCTCCAGTAGCACTCTATAAGCTTCCTAAAGGCTATCCATGCCTTTTTTTTGACAAAAAACGGGCCAGTTTTTGCGAAAAACAGGCATTTTTTATTTGTTTTTGCCCCCCCCCCCTCTCCTGGAGCACTCTACAAGCCTCCTAAGGGCTATTCATGCCCTTTAAAAAAAAAACAGGCCTGTTTTTTTTGGGGGGGAAACGGGCTATTTTGGGGAGGTTTGCAGAGTGCAAAAACTTTTTTTAAAATTTCCTCTTCAAAACCTTGCTGCGTCTTATACTCCAGTGTGTCTTATACTCCAAAAATACAGTATTTATAATATCAGTAGCAGATGCAAATTACCTCTACCTCCTGAAAAGCACATCAAAGAGACTTCTCATCTTATTTTGCTACAATATTACCAAAAGTATTTGCTCACAACTGCTTCTGATTATGTGGATGGGTGAGCGAATACTTTTGGCAATATAGTGTATATAGAGGTCTCTCATTTGAAAACAGACTACGTGCCGGAATTCTTGCTACTATAAGCTTCTTCTTAATAAACCTTATTAATCAAAGCTCTGAGAGGCTGGTGTTTGTGATTAACTGTTCCAAGCTGCTACTAACAGTTTTGGCAGCTTGGTGAATTCTCTTGAGTTCCAGAGAAAACTAAATACAATTGTTCATTAACATGGCTCCCTTGGTATTCAGTATATAGTGGGGTTTTTTAGGGTGGGGGGGTAAGATAGTGGATGGCTATGTGAAGAGTAGTCTCCCAAAATCCAGGGACAGCAGTACATTTTTTCTATGGCATTTCCATCCTATATCTGTGGCATATTGTTCCCTCTTTTAAAGTCGCATATTGACCTCCTGTCCTCATTCTTATCTGGGATAATGAAAAGTATGGAATAGCGATAGAGGACATTTTTGCAAATACAACTCCATCTCTGAACAAGACGTCACATGACCACAACTTATAACTTCACTGCTGGCTTCTCCACTGACTATGCTTATTGAAAGCCGGCTGTAAAATGTGCAATTGCAAAATGTCCAAATCTTGGTATGATGGCAAGGATGCTGTAACAGTCATATGCACAAAGACTAGTTGTAAGGTGACTTTTGCAGAACCATCGTAACTTCGAACAATCGCTAAACAGGGCAGCCATTCAGTGAGAACTACCTGTACTAGTTACATATAATAGTTATAAACACCAAAAGTAAGTTAACATATGCTTCATTGTTTATAGAAGGCCTTTGATTATGTCATCCATGTCAAGTTAATGTGCTTAGAAAAATGGGAAATAAGGACATCCCACTATGCTCATGTAAAAGCTACATAGCTTAGGAAATCATTGTATAGACATGGCAAAACAAACTGGCTCTAATTTGGCAAAGTACTGTAGTGAGACAAATCCATTTCCCCCTAGTTTACTATGTATTTTTAAAGAGTGGTGTGGTGGCTTAGAAGTGGAGCTCTTCCCTCACAATCAGGAGGCTGTGAGTTTAATTCTAGGTAGTGGCAAATATTTCTCTCTGGATCCAAAGAGAAAATATCTCCTGTGAATTCAACCTAAGCATCAGGAAGGGCATTTGGCCAGTAAATACCAGTTCCATTCAGTTGCCCCGACTTCATCCCAATGCAAGGGATTACAGGGTCATTTTAAAACAAAAGTGGTATTTCTAAAAAATTAAGTTGAGCTATGTGTTCCCTCTCTATTAACAATAAAAGATTTAATTCAATAAACATATTATAAACTTTCTTGTTATCTAGCAAATCAGAAACAGCCCATCAGATGCCACCAACAAATGTGATTCTGGAAGCACAATTGCCAATTGTAGTGTTAACAAAGAAGCATGGATGCTGACTTTGAATAGTGAAAATAAACTTGTCTTTAAAATGTCCAATCCCTTGGAAACATGGACACTCACAGGAGAAGCTAACTAGCAGTACTGTGAGCAGCACAAGGTAATGGGGAAACGCAACTCACTTGGGAAGTATCATGATTGAAGATGACATTGTTGAGGTCTCCACAGTTGTAATGCTTGATAAGGTCCTCTGTACTGTGAGGAATCTGTAGACTGCCTGCTCGGAGCTTCTCCTGTTGCAAGAGAGTCTGATTCAAAGCAAAGATCACCTGGGGAATGGAAAGGAGGAAAAGTGAAAATTCCTAATTAGTCCTTAAAACTCATTCTTAAATAATATACATGAAACTGGAATTTGGCATTCATTTATATGTGTGTATATGTGTGCATTCTATCCTAAACGCATCTTTAAATGCTCAACCATCTACAAAGAAGAAAATAGTTTATATAATCGATTATAAGAACATTGTCATCATCAATGCCCCAAAATAAATAAACTGATAGGCTTGTGCATGACTCATATTCAGGAAAAGTCAACATTTCTGAAAGTTGTGCAACACCAATGGAAATCTCCTTTAACCATCACATCCTTTCTATGGCTCACATGAGAAACTTCCCACAGCAACAGTGAAATTGTTAGATTTGGGGAAATGGGTAATCCTCAATTTATGACTACAATTGAGGCCAAAATTTCTCTTGCTGAGTGAAACATTTGTTAAGGGAATTTTATCCTATTTTACCACCTTTCTTTTCACAAATATTAAGTGAATCACTGTAAGTTGTTAAGTTAGTAACACGGTTGTTAAGTAAATCTGGTTTCCCTATTGACTTTGCTTGTCAGAAGGTTGCACATGACCCCGGGACACTGCAACCATCATAAAAATGAGTCAATTGCCAAGCATCTGAATATTGAACATGAGACCATTGGGATGTTGCAACGGTCGTAAGTGTAAAAAATGGTCAGAAGTCACTTTTTTCAGTGCCGTTGCAACACTGAACGGTCACTTACGGTTGTAAGTCAAAGACTACCTGCATATTCAATCAATAAATGGGTGCTTGGGTCAAATAGATGCTAGCAGTTATTCCATGCACTTCTATTTCCTCTTCACATCTTTTCCTGTTCAAGTCTATTTTGCTCTGCAATGCTATTAAAATTATTCAATGCACTGGAAATTTCACGTTTTTACTCAACTTCTTCCTCTAAGAAAAATGTAACCAGTCTACTGTATAAATAATTGGTTGGAGGAGAAACGGTGCTTAATCCTTCCCTTTGGACTTTTTATTCTCTGCCTGTAATTTTTTAAAACTTTTGGTTGAACAACAACCAAAAGTTCAAGGTAAGAAGGTTCAGCAACATTACCCTCCTACTAGTTTCAAATGTCTTCTTTGCTCTTAAGAAAATATTTTAAAAAACACATTAGGTGAATTTTGGTGGTTGTTTCAGCACCAATTTAATTAAGTTCACTGGTTAAATTCGGAAGAATAGTAATTTGGCATGAGGGATGCGATGGCTTAGTGGCTAAGATGCTGAGCTTGTTAATCAGAAAGGTCAGCAGTGTGGTGGTTCAAATCCCTAGTGCCATGTAATGGAGTGAACTCCCGTTACTTGCCCCAGCTTCTGCCAACATAGCAGTTCGAAAGCATGTAAAAATGCAAGTAGAAAAATAGGAACCACCTTTGGTGGGAAGGTAACAGCGTTCCGTGTGCCTTCGGCGTTTAGTCATGTCAGCTACATGAGCATGGAGTCGTCTTCGAACAGCACTGGCTCTTCGGCTTTGAAACGGAGATGATAACCACTTCCTAGAGTTGGAAATGACTAGCACATATGTGTGAGGGGAACCTTTACCTTTACCCGAGTAATTTGGCTTCACAACAAGCTGAAATAGAACCACGTTCTACCATAATGGCCTATTTAATGGATATTGGGTAACTTGCCACAGGAGAAATACTGATCTTCAAATACCAAAGAAAGCTTACAACCAACTGCCAGTAAGCTTCCTTGTACATATAGACTTACAAGACTGCAGTATTGTTACTCAACACAAGAATCATGTTTGGAGGCAACAGCATTTCTGGCTTACAATGGACATTCAGCAGGAAATGCTCCATTCAGCAACATTCAAGTGTTTCTGGCTTACAATGGACATTCAGCAGGAAGAAGTTCATACATTTCACCAAAATCCCTTGATTTAAAAAAAGAAGTGAGGAACCATCTCAGTGCTTCCAATCAATGATCCTGTCCTTTGAAGAAGTACTAGAAAGACTGAGTTCTGTGCGCATAATGCAAAATCAGCAAAATGCATCAAAAAGAGCCATTTTCATGTATTGTCACATCAGGCAGCCTTGAAGAGCATTTCAATCAGAGTATTCTTTAAGACTTTGCTGTATGAATGTGTGTGTATGTATGGGTAGTCCTCAACTTACAACTATTTATTTCATGGTCGTTTGAAGTTACAATGGCATTGAAAAAGTGACTGATGACTGATGCTCGTACAACCTTTGCAGCCACCCTACAGGTCACATGATCAAAATTTGGGCACCACCCAATTGGCATCCACAGAATTTAAAATGGTTGCAGCCTCCTGGGATCACATGATCACCACTTATAACCCAGCCAACTTCCAACAAGAAAAGTCGAAGGAGGAAATTGGTTTTGCTTAACTGCAGAGATTCACTTAACAATTGTGGCAAAAACTCCCTCAGAGGGAGAGGTAATTAAAAAAATATTAGACTGTGCAGAAATGAATAGATTAACATTGGCAATTAAAGAGAAGGAAGAATCATAGTATTATAAGATGCGGGGATGTTTTTATCATTGGATAGAAAATGAATATAGGCAAAAAGAAATAAAAAACTGAATAGTGGGGGGGGGATGTAGAATTATAGGGGAGGAGTTGAACTAAAAGGTAATCTAAATGTAAATGTAAAGGCAAGATAAAAATAGATTAAAAATGATGTAACTGTTAAATATGATGACACAAAAACTGTACCTAGATGACACACTGTAAGATTAATGATGTAAAAAACTTCCCCCCGCCAAAAAACCCCCCTCAATTGTGGCAAAAACAATAACGATACAATCAGGTGCGGCTCAGTTAACAATTGCCTTGCTTAGCCATGGAAATTCTGATCCCAATTGCCATTGTAAGTCGAGGACTATATGTTTGTAATGTGAAGTATGTAATAACTTATGACCTGAGATCCCTGAATTTTTTTCTTAAAAAAAAAGAAAGGAAATAAAAGGCCAGTGTAAAACATGGCATTCAGCTCTGGTCTGCTTGGGGAAAACAAGTTAGAATTCCTACACCAAACATCATGGATTTTTTTTTAAGTATCCCCCTCCCCCTACCATTCTTCTGAACAGTCATGTAACGTATTTCTAGCTGCCTAAATCTCTTTTTATACAAACAAAACAAAATCAACCATTTTGCAGTAATAGTGGAGTTCCCTGCAGTTCAAACCATGACCCAAAAAATAACCAAAATATAATTTTCCTAGGGTCTTATGAGGGCATAAACTTAATTAAATACGATTCACCTAGTGTATGAATAAAGCTGCAATTAAGAAACCAATATTCTTTTACATTCTGTAAAGAGTGGGAACTTTATGGCCTCCCTCACAAGCTAATAGCTGTTATAAATGGGATCCTCTTAAGTCCAACCTCACAGCTCTCCAATAACAATTTTTCTAGCAAGTGTTATCGCATTCAGAGATTGCAATACCAGGTGCAGCTTCAAACAGGGCGTCCTTTGTGAAAGGTTTATCTTCAGTACATAGTCAAGTGACCCGCAAGTCCGAGGCTTTCATAACAAGAGGGGGGAAATTCCAGAGCTTGTGAATTGGAAGGTGCTCTCTTCACATGGAAGTGCTTTTGTTCAGTGGCAAAGGTGCGGGGGAGGAAAGCGTGAGGAAAATGCAAGCTTATCTCAAAGTGGGCACCCAAAATAAATGGCATGTGGCAAGTACTTGTCCCTAGTTCCCTTTTCAGTATTTCCTTTCCAGATATCCTCGTAGCTAGCACTTCTGTAATGTTCCGATTATCCAAAGCATTTCATGGGAATTATCTCAACCGTGGTTTACATAAACATTGCAAAAAGTAACTCGGCATTGCCCGTCTATTGCAGTCCGTTGTTTTAGCTAAGGTTGTCCAGAAATCTAAATTAGATGATGAGGGTTCAGGGCTTAATCACTGGAATGTTAATGTTCTAAGCCGGAGATGTTTCTTAACGATCTGTCTTTGTAGATTCTCAGTCATCCAGGTCATGGTTGCCCCAAAAGTGCTTTTTCAAAAGGCAACTGGATTTTACTTTCTTCCTTGAAGATGTTTTGCTTCTCATCCAAGAAGCTTCTTAAGCTCTGACCAAAGGGTGATGGAAGGATTCATATTCCTTGCAGTTCCTTAACGATGTTCAACAGTAATTTAAGACATGCTTTATAAAGGTTGGCTCTGATTTAAGGTGAAATTGATGCATCCTTTAGATCAGGCCTCCCCAAACTCCTCAGCTCATTGGCCCCTTCATAAAGTTTCAGATTATTCATTGACCTCCAGATGCTTACTCTATGAAAATTATTTAATGCTTTAATAGGACTGGTGTTATGTATGGAATGTATATAGTTAAGGTGACCAGATTTTCAGATTGGTAAAGAGGGACACCATTGACCCCGGGGGGGGGGGGGGCCTTGATTAAAAATTTTATATTTTGTCAAAAGCTCACAAAAGGCGATTAATGACCCCAGGACACTGAAATCATCATAAATACGACTCTGTTGCCAAACAAAATTTTGATCACGTGACCATGATGCTGCTGCAACGGTCGCTAAGTGTGAAAAATGGTCGCAATGGTCGCTAAGTGTGAAAAATGGTCATCAGTCACTTTTTTCAATGCCATTGTAACTTTGGTCACTAAACGTTTTCCCCTTCCTTGAGACACCTTCCTTCTTCCTTCCTTCATTCCTCTTGCTTATCTACCTTCACCTTATCTGTCTTCTGCTCTTTCCCTCTCTTCCTTCCTTCCTCCTTTTCTCTTCCTTCCTCCTTCCATTCTTTCAGCTTCCTTCCTTTTGCCTATCTACCTTCTCTGTCTTTCTGCTCTTTTCATTTCTCTCTTC